AACAGAACAATCGAAAAATAAAAAAAAATCGAAAAATATCTAAACATGGAAAATCGAAAAATCGAAAATCGGAAAATAGAAAAACCGAAAAATCGAAAATCGAAAACTCGAAAATTCGATGAAACAAATACTCGAAAAAGCGAAAAGTAAAAAAATTGCAAGGCCTAAAAATTGAAAAATCAAAAAATCGAAAAAATTAAAATCGAAAAGTGGAAAATCGGAAAGTAACAAAATTGAAATCTAAAAGCTGCAAATTGCAGAACCATAAAAACTGAAACAAACAGAAAAATCGAAAAACCACAAAAGCGGAAAAACGAAAATGGAAAAATCGCAAATCGAAAAATCGTAAAATCAAAAAATGGAAAATCGAACAATCGAAAGTTGAAAAATCGAAGGTCGAAAAATCGAAAAATTTTATGATTAATGGAAAATCGAAAAATCGAGAATAGAATAATTAAAAAACCGGAAAATTGAAAAATCGGAAATCGAAGAATTAAAAACGTAAAATCGAGAATTCAAAAATCAAAAAAATCGGAAAGTAAAATATAATCGAAAAATGCAAAAAAAATTGCAAAGTCTAAAAACTGACGAACAGAAAAATCAAAAAATCTAAAAATGGGAAGACGAAAAATCGAAAATTGAAAGAATGGCAAATTAAAAAATCGAAACATCGAAAAATCAAAAAAACGTAAAATTAAAAAATCGAAAAACGACAAAACTGAAAACTCGAAAAATCAAAATACCGCAAATTTGAAAAATCAGAAAATTAGAAAATAATAAAATCGAAAAGTTGATAGAAAAATGGAAACTGAAAAATCTAATTCGATGAAACTGTTGGTCGATAAAACGAAAAATCGAAAATCGGAGCGACCTTTTTTTGAGACAGGCTGTATAAGTAAATCTAAAAAATATTACTGCAATGATAAATCACAGGTATAGACTCATCATATCAAATTTTACGATGACGTCATTCATTTTTTGGCGAAGATAAGCAAATACATTTTGATCGCGGCTTTGAAAGTATTGTTCGACTTTCGTTCCATTCCAAAATTTACTCTTTGTATATTTCAGTGGTCACAACGAGTTCACTAACTACGCTGAAGTATCCAAAGATTAAATTTGTCACGGAAAAGATGTCGGAAGTAATAAATTATCCTATCGGTCGAAGAACGTTCGGTCCGGTGTTACACCTCGACCCAAGAGAGACCGCAGTAAAGGATAACAAATGGAACGGATAAAATAAAGCGTCAAACATGATTGATAAACTTTAAACCAAAATTAAGAAGTTTATAAACTGAACATTTTTTTTGCTTTTTGAAATGTAGTACACTTCAAAAAATGTCCGTGACTTACTTTAATGTGAATGCTATAACTATGGTCGGCACAATTAGACCTAATATTAGTGTGATTTTGAGCATATTCTCGATGTTATTAGACAAGGACAGGTTTTTTTTTTCTAACTAATTGACAAGATTTCAAAGTATTCAGTTTTGCAATTCTTGATTTCTTCAATAAAATAAATTGACTCAGTCATTATTTTTTTTGAGTTACCCTGTATGTATAAACAAATCCAAAAAATATTAATGGAATGGTAAATCACAAGTATAGACTCATCATATTCTGAACATTTTAGATAGGGTATTTATAAAATTAAAACTAATTCGGAGTAAGTATTTATAAAATTAAAACTAATTCAGGGTAAGAATTTGGTCAACACGTAAATTTCGTTGTAGTTTGAACCTACCTACAAAAATGATCCGCCCATAGGCTCAAAACATTTGTTACCGTTATTCTTGTCCCCTTATCGCCCAGTCTTGCGTTAAAATCCCCTCCTGTAAGTATTTTTTCATTTCCTTTTCTATGTTTATCTTGGTTTCCTCCATTTTCTTGCAATAAACGATTATTATTTCCCATCGATTGTTATCCAGCTGTATTATGGCACTCTAATCATTTATATATATATTAAAAAAAAAATTCAAAAAATGTGGATCTACATTTTTTCTCATTTTCATTAGCAACTTGACATTACACTGATTCGAAGAGTAATTTCGTCAGTTAGCTCCTCTTTCCACTACTTAACGAAATTTACATTCAAGCACGCTCCATTATAGTTTCACGAAATTCCATCCTCCTCAAATATTAACTGCTATTTTTCACATTTATAGGAATAATTAACTCTTGCTGGTTGTTTTTCCGAAATGGGTCTAAACCCATTTATAGCCGCCAATTAGCGCGTTTAGCTCCCCGCTCTTCTTTTTTCGCACCCAGAACCACGCCATTACCATAAAATCTCCCCTTCCAGCTGATCAGGCGCATTTACCCAAATTACCCCTAATTTGCGGTGCCACTCATCCATCATCTCACGTCTTCATTATCGGCAAACACCCATCCCGGCCACCGTCGTTTTACGATCGATTTTATGGGCGAACCGACGCGAATTAATTACCATCAGGAGCAACGTCGGGAAAGGGAGAAGGCGCGAATTTGGAGCTCGCGTGTGGTCTTCCCATGGCTATGCGATGTTTTATTTATCGGAAACGGCCAACTTTGATCGATACACACGGCAAAATTTGCGAACAACTTGACCATATAGAGAGATGAGACGATGACAGATAAATCAAAGACGGCGGGTGGAGGTTTTTTAGCGGTGACGTCACAAGCGCTGGGCGCCCGCACTCAAAAATATGTCGCCGGCAAAAAACGTCGGGACCACGGAGAATATTAATAATAAGAGTATTTTTCCGAAAAACGATGTCCGTTTTTCGCCGTTTTGGGCACCGGTTGGCGCGTTTTGCGTGAGGCGGCGGAAATAATTGGGCTTCGATAGGTGGAGGCGACGGGCGGTAATTATGGGTTGAGGAGCAGGCTGGCGTTAAAGTGACGGACAGGACCGAATTTTGCGCAAATTGCCGACGATTTTTTGGCCTTTTTCGGAGAATATTATTCAAATCTCGAAGAATAGTGTTAGGTCTTGGCTTAGAACTGCTTGTGTTCGTGTTGTCTTTTTTTGAAATCGTCTAATGGGCAGGAGGTATTAGCGAAATATTGAAACTGATGCTACTCCGGCCCCAGTAAAGAGGAACTAAGGTGACGTATTATTACGATATTATGCAAATAGTGTTGTATGTAGGCTTGTTGAAAATTATTTGCCATTTTTTTTGTTCGTTTTTTTTAAATGACAATATGATAGGGTGTGTATACTTGGTACCGGTGTCTGACTAAAAAATAATTGTTCGACAGATGGTCAAGGATGGGTTATCCCAAATAAAGCAGTTTATTCTCAATTTCTCGACCGAATTTTGGAAAATACATTTTCTAAACAATCTTGAGAAAATCTCGATGTTAATAAATATGAGTATTTTATTTTTGTTCAAAAACAAGTTTTGCACGTCTAAAATTGATGTTGTAGTCAGTATAAACACCTGTTTTAATAGGTTTTCAAACTGCTTTTCCAAATTTGTCAGAAGCGACTTTTAAGTTAAAAAATAACTTAATAATAATAATAATAATAATTTCTCCATTTTACAAAATTAAAAATATAATCCAGTACGTACATTAATGGGAATAAAAAAACAAAGCTATTTAACTAACAATAATAACTAATAAAAATAATTTAAATAAATCATATAAGAAAGTTTAATGTTCTTTTAAAAGCGACTGAATGTGAATTAAAAATATCAAATTTTTCATTTTTTCCAAACAAATTTGCAGACTCCATCATTCTTCTAAGAGGATGGTTAACTGACATATTAGTAGCGACGGTAACGGTTAGAAAAATATTACAATTTCTGGTGCTTCTGCTGTTTATGCTTGGAATTCGAAAAGTTAGTTTTGTGAGAAGGTCCATACTGTCAATTCTACCATTCATAATGGCATGTAAGGTGCAAAGATCCGCTATGTTCCTACGAGCTTCCAAAGATTTCATTCCAAGTAGGTTTAACACCCACCCGTATTCACCCTGTTGATGATAATGTTGTTCTTTAAATTCAATTGTTCGAAGGAACTTCTTCTGAACGCGTTCCAGAAGGACAATGTCAGTCTTATATATTGGGTACCAAATAGGAGAGCAGTACTCTAAGTTGGAACGCACCAACGAAGAATACATCATCTTCAATGCATAGGAACTCATATCTTTACAGTGCCGCCAAATAAATCCCCACATTTGTATAGATTTGTTGGATATGTACTGATAATGATTCTTAAATGAAAGTGTAGAATCAAAAATTACACCAAGGTCTTTTATTTCGTTAACCGACTCGAGAATAGAATTACCAATATTATAATCAAATTTTATAGAAGAATTTTTATTACAAAAAGTAATGTGACAGCACTTATATAAATTGAGACTTAAAAAATTTAATTCACACCAATGAAAAACATTATCTAAATCTGCTTGTAATTCTTGGCAATCTTTTACAGACGTAATTGTTTTAAAAATTTTGAGATAATCGGCATAAAAAAGAAACTTGGAAAATTTAAAGCAACGGCTTAAGTCATTAATAAACAAAAGAAATAAAATTGGGCCACAATGGGAACCCTATGGAACACCCCATGTAACTTTAAACGGATCGGAAAGATAGTTGCCAATTTTAACTTGTTGCCATCTGTCTGTTAGAAATGAAATTAACCAATCAATTGTAGACTGCCTGAAGCCAAGTTTATGCAGTTTCAAAATAATAACATTGTGATCTACTCGATCAAACGCTTTCGCAAAATCAGTATAAATAGAGTCAACTTGGGCTCTCTTTGTAAAAGACTCGTTGAGAAATGAATAATAATCCAATAGGTTAGACAAAGTTGACTTGTTTTTGCAAAAACCATGCTGTTGATTTGTAAGTACCCTTGAGGCTATCCACTGGAGTTGTTTTGCAATAATGGACTCAAAGATTTTAGGAATACTTGACTGGTTACAAACACCTCGATAATTTTTACTTCCTTTCGATGACCATTTTTAAAAATAGGTTTGATATAACTCAATTTCCATATTTCGGGAAACTTACCCATGTTCAAAGATTTGGTAAATACTACAAGCAATGGCACAGATAGGGTGCATACACACTTTTTTAAAAATAAGTTGCTCAAGCCATCAGGGCCTGTAACAGGAGAATTGTTAAGAGAGGAGATTGCATCGAATATGTCCTTGATCCCAACTGATAAAGCCACATCTAAAACTTCATCAATAAAATAATCATTCCACTTTAAATTGGAAGAAGTGTTAGTGGTGTAAACAGATGAAAAAAATTTGGCGAATAAATTGGAAATTCCTTTGCCTCCAGTCACTGATTCATTTAAATACGACATCTCGCTTGAACCATTATTGTTACTGGTCTTCCTCTCACGAACAAATTTCCAAAAAAATTTAGGATTGCTGATAATAGAAGCATTAACCTCGCTTACATAAAGTTTGTAAAGTTTTTTAGAGAGTTTTTTTACATTGAGATCTTAGACTCTTAAAATACAAATAATCTTGTAGATTTCCAGATTGTTTAAATTTAGTATGTGCTTTAATTTTCTTATGACATAGAGTTTTCAATTCTGAGTTGAACCATTTAGGATATCTGGAAGGTTTTGTCCTTATAATTTTTCGTGGAATGTAAGTTTCCATACCAACACTTAAAATTTCGTAGAAAATTGCTACCATTTCGTCTAATCCAAGACCTTCGAAGCATTTGTCCCAGCATATGGAAGCAAAATAATCATTTAGAAGAGGATAATTGCCATTCACAAAATCGTACACACAAAATTCCGTTTCTAAATTTTCAGTTTGTGCAATAGATATCGACCAAGAGTAGGAAATGTGGTGTAAACTATCACCAAGTATAGGATCAATGGCAGGAATGATTTCTAAATCAGTAATATTGGTAAAAATTAAGTCAAGAAAAACATTTCGATCGTTAGGAATTGTATTTAGTTGAGAAAAGTTTAGGAAAGAATACGTATTTAGAACAATATCATAGCAGTCATGATTAGAACAGGCAAACCTGTATGCGATTGTACCCTTTTCTGCCCATTTAACACGAGGTAAATTAAAATCACCTGCAATAATGAAATTGTAGTCAGAATATTTTTGAAACACATTCTCTACGTCTTTGCAATGCGACTTATATATATTGAAATCAGACGCAGGAGGAATATAAACACCAGCAATAATGAAACTAGACCCATTTGTTCTAAAACTAATAAAAAGACTTTCCACTAATTCGCCTACGAAAATAACTGAGGAATTTAAACATTTTTTAACCGCAATTAGTATACCCCCGCCTCTAGATTTGGTGCTTGTTTTTATATTACGATCTGCACGGTAAATGTCAAAATTATTGAGAGGAATTTCTTCATTTTTAATTTTGTTACTTAACCAAGATTCAGTTATTATAATTATGTCATAAACACACGCATTAACATTAACAACAAATTCATCCAATGTAGATCCTAGTCCGCCAACATTGTGATAATAGCAACTAATTAGTTTTTTGAGCTACGAGTTTTTCTGGACGTGTTATTCTTAACAATATATGGATTATTATGCCTATATCGCAAAATTAAGTTCGATTCACCTTTTGCAGCTCTATCTTTCAATTCTTTTTTGACGATGTTTATATGTTCTCTTTGTTTAGTTGTTAAATCGGGGCGAAAGTGTCGGTATCGGTTATTATTACTTTTATTAGATCTTAATATTTCTCTCGCATCATTTTCGTTTTCATATACAATTTTGAGAGGACGATTATGATTAGCCTTAGAAATTCCCAACCTAAAGATTTTTTTTTTGGTTTAGGGAAGGTCCCTAAAGGAGTTAGAATATCTTCTATCACTTTAAGATCATCATTTATTTTGTCATTAGAAGTCGATGCAAGAGATTCAGGTATCTTAAATAGTAATACGTTGCACGCTCGTTCTTTACGTTCTTCAATTTCTTCTAACATATCATCAACACAGTTAGAATTAGTTGAAGTTTCTCCCATATTTCGAACATGAGCAATTTCATCTTTCAACAACTTAATATCATTCTCAACTGCCGTAACTCTATTATCAATTTGAATTAAGTGTTCATCCATCTTCTTAAATAATTCTAACTACAAAACTTCAAACTGATTTTTTATAAGAAGCTCTATTTGAGGGAGAGTTGCTGTTTCATTAAACACTTAATGAACTATTGAAGGAATTCTATAGTTCTCCTTTGACAGCCATATTAAACTTGCTCAAGATCAAAATCGTTGATCTAGAACTAATCAACTGGAACCACCTATGTACAACGCTAACAAAAACAGTTGTCGTTAGAGAAGATTTGTCTTCTCTCTCTTCCGCATCAAATTTTATTCCACAACTAACATTTCGATTCAAAACGTTTAGAGAATTTGACATCTTCATTTTGCTAAAATGGTTAGATTGTAAAAGATCCATATTTAATTTAGACGCAAATTGCAGCTCAAATTTGCCTTCTTCTTCACAAAAATCTTTAATGTGTTGCACGTCAACCAAATCAGAAGTTGGTTTATATTTTTCAACAAAATCATTTGGTACTTGAATGGTTTTGTTTTGTACCAAACATTGGTTTATATTTTTTAGTAAATGTGGCCCAGATAAAAAGTACATTTTTCGCCATTAACTGGGTTTAGGACATAATTTTTTGTTTCGCATTTTCTTCCAGTTTTTATTCCAAAGATTTTCCAGATAGCTTGATTCGTCGATCCCATATCTCAGATTACAGAATCAACCTTCAAACCAATCGCACTGATTTTCTTAAAAACTTGTTTAAGAACATCAGCTAGAACTGCCCCATTCATACTGTCTTCAGTAAAATATTAGTATGAAACAATTTGTTTCCAGCGAGTAGTAATACCTCCCACAAGAATTACCAACGCTTTTGTCGCTACTCCCTCATGTTTTGGTAAAGTATAATGCCCGCAATATACGTCCCACTATGTACACAATAATCCCAAAATCCTGATTAAGCGATTCACATTTAATTTTCAAAAACCCTATAATTTCATCCAAAACTCCAGATTTAAACTCTAAATTTTGTAAATGAAAATTCAATGTTCGAATAGCTGGAAATGGTAGTTTCATTTTTCTCAATAAGTTATATCCACTGGTCCCACATTCAAATTTAAGCTTCAAAGATTTAGTGATTGTTTGCTGGGAACATTTTTTGAATTTTTTCCCTTTTAGAGCCTCAATTTGATCCTTTGTTAATATATTTGCCAAATTTTTCCTTATATTTGTATTACACACTTTTCGGAAGTATAATTTCTGGCTTAATTTTTGTTACTAATTTTTAACATTCTAACTTTTTTTCTTAGCGTATCATTTTCTTTCTGTAGCGTTACATAGTCAGGTGGTTGTTTGAACTTTAGCGGTTTAGACGAAACAAATTCAGGCCAGAGAGGTTGAGAAAAAAGAGAATTATTTTTGGTCATATATTTTCCATTGATCTTCCATATTTACCCGGCGCAATGTTCATGTTTTTTAACCACCATAGTGCACGAAAATATGGCTTTTGTGGAATAGTTTCAAAGAACATTCTATTCTCAGATCTATTTTTATAACCTTTCACGCTGCAGCCGGTCATCGTTCAAATTTCTACTTGACGAACCACCAATAAAAATGAATCACGCTATTTGCCTTACTCTTTTCATAATTATTATTATCTAGGTACACTAACTAAGTCAGGCCAGGTCTAATCAGGTTAGAATAAAGAGGACTAAGAGTGAGGTTAAAAAGAGTGTAAAGGCAAAATCTGCATTGATAACATAGAATTGGACAAACGGGCCGGGGTACCACAAGGCTGAGCTTTGGTCCATTGGTTTGGGTCGTCTTCGACGACGATCTACTAAGGCTCAAGATTCCTGGAGTGGTTCTGATAGTTGCGGCAGGAACCTAGAATACGCTGGAATACATAGCCAGTAAATAATAATAATAATAATAATAATAATGGTAGTTTATTTTCCCACGGACATTTAACGTCCTTAGGGGAACAAAAATACAAATACATGCGAACTTAGTAATAATAGTAATAATAAAGGAAAAAAAAATAAAAAGGTATGCTGTTACAATTAGAACAGAAAAAAAAATAAACAATAAAGATCCACATAATCAAATACTGACAGCTGAGGTAATTGCTATTACTGATTGTAGTGCATAAGAAGAATATTTTTAAATTTACGTTTACAGACATTATCAAAAAAAATATCAAATTTATCACTAACACAGTTATACAATCTGAAACAATTTAGAAAAAGCGAGTTGTAATGACGAAATGTGTTAGGAATTTTATAAGAAAATGTGATTGCGTGTCTACTAATAATTCTTTTCACATTTATTTTTATTTCACCAAGAAGTTCAGCACTTTTAATTGTACCAAATATTATTTTCTGTAGAAACGTTAGACACGCTACATATCTTCTGCTTGAAAGAGAGTTTTCATTTATTAGATGTAACAATGCTTTCTGCTCATAGTGTGGTGTTGGATAGTGTCCGTACGTCTTATAAAATAAATATTTACAAAATTTTCGTAAAACATTCTCTAAGTAATCAATATATGTTACTTGCCAAGGACACCATACACAACAACAATATTCCAGTCTGGACCTAACCAAAGTATAAAATAACAATTTAATTGTAAAATTATTCCTCATGTCAGAGGTGTTCCTAATAATGAACCCTAGCAACTTCAGTCCCTTCTGTATAATGTAGTTAATGTGCGGTACGAAAGAAAGTTTATTATCCACTATAACTCCAAGATGTAAGAATTGCTTACAACGCACAAGTACCTTACCCTGAATATTGTAAAAGAAACCCACATTAACATTTTTCCTACTTATTGACATTACTTTACATTTTGCTGTGTTAATGCGAAGAAAGTTCCTGCTACAATATTCTGCAAACAAGTCAATACTGTGTTGAAGATGCAAACAGTCAGAGTATGAGTTTATAATATTGACAATTTTTAGATCATCGGCGTATACATAAAACTTAAAATTTATGTATTCACAAACGTCATTAAAAAATATAATAAAAAGAAGTGGTCCAAGATTGGAACCTTGGACGACTCCA